GGTGTCTGACCTGCCCTGTGTGTGAGTGAGCAGGGGCACACTCCTCATGAGGTAGTGTGTTAACAAGTCAGTCATGGGGAGCAGAGAACACTCAGAATCAAAGCCAGAGACATGGATCCTGTGCTGTGTCTTTTCAGAGGAGCTGTGGACAGCGGGTTGTTTGAGATGTCCTTGAGACTGTTGCTGTGACTTGGATTTGGCTCTTATAGCTTGCTGACCTAAGGAAAATTCGGGACTTGCCTGCACCGAAGCTCCCTGAATTGTAATCTGACAGTGGAACTGAAAGACCTACTCTTACTCATCTTCTGATGTGTGGACAGGACACACAGCTTTGGGTTGTTTAGTGTTGCTAGTGGTTGAGACCCGGGCCATGTGTGTGTTGGGCGAGTGTGCTAGCATCCCGAGCTACGTCCCCAGGCTTAGAGGAGCTTCAGCGTGTGACCACTACCTTGACTTCTGCTCTGAGCCAGTTCTTTACCCCAGTTCCTGAGACCCTGGGAGTGTGTTCTCCTAATTACTCACGCCTTGGAGCTGTTCCAACAGCCCTCTTTTGGTTAAATTTCCTCAGTTTCGTGCCTGTGCCTAACATGGCAGGAACCCTGGTTAGCACATTCTCACATTCTCCTGAGCTTCGTGTGCCTTAACCAGAGCAGACACAGGGTTACTGAGTAAGAACAGGCTGGCTCTGTAGGCCGCTACGAAGGCCAGCCTGTGGTGTTCTTTGTGGGGCCACTGGAGAGTTGGCTCTGAATGAACAGTACCTGCAAATTCCAGTTAAAGAGCAAATTCTAAAAGTGATAGGTTTTAAGAAGAAAATTTTGTCATGCAATGCCATAGAAAAATACAACTGGTGATATGAACATGGTAGTTTTATTTTTCTGGCTGTGGTGAAGTGTGTTGCTTTATTGTGAAAATGAACATGTTCCCCTCGACAGGTACAGAGTAAATCTTCAGAGCCCAGGGAGAACATAGCATCCATCCCTGTGGGTACCACAGAGAAGAATCCTGGTGACCTCCCTGAGCTGGACGGTCAGATGATCACTGGAGCCGGTGACTCAGAAGTAACACACCCCACTGAGAACCCAGAGAGTAAAGAAAAGAAAGATGGCGTTTGTGGGTGAGGAAAACTGCGTCTGGGCATGTCAACCAAGTGGGGGGGACCCCAGAGCCTTAGCCTTGGGGATTCCCGGGAAGTGAGGGCAGCGCGTTGTGTGTTACTGTGCTCTCTAGGGCAGAGAGCACCCACAGCTGCTTCCAGGACTGGGTGTTGTGTGGGACCACGGGGTGCTGTGGTAGTGAATGCTCCCGCATACTTGCTGACTGCCTTCCCACCTCCATATTCCCTCCTCAGCCCTCCTCCATCAAAGAAAATGAAGTTGTTTGGATTTAAAGAAGATCCGTTTGTGTTCATTCCTGAGGACGATCCTTTGTTCCCGCCTATTGAGTAAGGATCCTGCCATGTGAATCCCGCTGTAGGAAATTCACTGTAGCAAAGCCAGTCTGTACAGTCACACACAGTTACCAGGCACACACAGTTACCAGTCACACACAGTTACCAGTCACACACAGTTACCAGTCACACACAGTTACCAGGCACACACAGTTACCAGGCACATACGGCTACCAGTCACACACGGTTACCAGTCACACACGGTTACCAGTCACACACGGTTACCAGTCACACACGGCTACCAGTCACACAGTTACCAGTCACACACAGTTACCAGTCACACACAGTTACCAGGCACAAACAGCTACCAGTCACACACAGTTACCAG